TTGAATTCTGGCATGAAAATGACAAAACTCATTGGAATCTATTTCCTTAGGTTCCAAATGCAACATAGAGCTTCAATAGCACATCTCCATTTCATCATGTTCTCTGCATTCCTTTATTGCTGGGTCTGCAATTGCCCATAAGCTCTCATGTCCTACTTACACGAACTGCTCCACATCACCCTCGGATACATGCCCAACTCATTGTTCCTCGTTTAGGTTCCACTTGAGCGATGGCCTAACGCGTGCGATTTCACTCAACAGTCTCTTCAACATATGTCCAATCCATCTCCATTTTCTTCTGCCTATTTTTTAGGTGATATGTTCCTGGTTTCGTTGTTAGCGTCGAATCCTGAGCAATCTCTTTATTCATAAGTCTCTTCTTTCATTCATCAGATAGGAATGAAAGGAAATTATAAAAGACTTTATAGTAACACAACTAAATACAAAAATCTTAACAATCCTTTACTTGATTGGTGGATGGTGGCGAGCAGTGGAATCCAGGATGCGCATTTTGTTCTATTTTGGACTCGTCAGGACACTAATTAACTTCTAATTACATGCCCAGGCATCGTCGAAGCATCTCCACAAGAAGCCGACATGTCAACTTGAAACACGAGCACTTCGGTCCAATCAGTCGACGGAAAAATCTAGAATTGAATTAAATCCTTTACTTGGCACGAATTTTTATGTAATGAGAAAAGTGTTAGGCATAAAACTACTAACTGCTTCTGCGTAACAGTAAACAGACGAGGTTTTTCATTCCTAATATCACTAACATTATCTTTGTTGCAATTTCTATCACTTGATAATTTTAATCCTGCATTTATATTTTGACTGACATTATTACTAATACAAATGTGAATTATCTGCCTTATGCTGTGTAACATAAAAAGAACATCACATACCATATCATACTATATGCTGAGAAATCTTTACTGTATGAGAAGTACGCTTTCGAATAAAGCTATGATAATTGAATGATTAAAAATGCACATTAAACTTTTCTCAAATGAATGGTTAGTGAACAAAGAACATTCACATTTTCGATAACCTGCTCTTCATCAGGTTCTACAGTTATCTATACATTATAATGAATGAATTAGTGTTATCAACAACAATAACAATATCATTGGATTACAGTTCAATAGCATCAATATAACGATGCACTGAATATCAGAAAAATTAGGAAAAGTGATAATACAGAATTCATGAACTTACAGTCTCCACTGAAGGTCGGCCAGGGCAGTAGTGGTGGACAACCAGTGCTTGTGTGTGCAAAAGAAACAAGTCCAGCCACTACTATTGCCCTGGCCGACCTTCAGTGGAGACTGTAAGTTCATGAATTGTGTATTATCACTTTTCCTCATTTTTCTGATATTCAGTGCATCGTTATATTGATGCTATCAAACTGTTTTTTTCCTTCACGTTCCCCAGTGGAACATAGGGCTTCAAGCTAGAGGCCTGAAGTTTCTGTAGCAGTGTTTATTTTTACAGGATGAGTTTGCTAGCCTCATGCCCAACCTTTTCTCTTCACCAGCATTATTTCTGGCTTAGCGAGGTAAAGAAGTGCGTCGACCGGGGATCGAACCCCGGACCATATGGATGGTCGGCGAGCGCCTTAACCACTATGCCGCCGACGCTATCAATCTGTAATCCATTGATATTGTTATTGATTCGATGTTATTCAAACAACATTAATGTTGTTGATAACACTAATTCACTCATTCACTATAATGTATAGATAACTGTAGAACCTGATGAAGAGCAGGTTATCGAAAATGTGAATATTCTTTGTTCAGTAACCATTATTATTATTATTATTTTATGGCTGAAAGAAACTGTACATCTTGTGTTAAAATAGGGAAAAGTTCACAGACATCTTTAATTTATTTGATGCGTCGTACTTTTTAATAGCTGTGTAAGTAAGAGACAAGCAATTTATGAGATGAGTTCACTAGTTCCAAAGCCTTGAGTGCTTATCATCTTCTATTCAGCCTTAAAGAGGTATATTGATTACATGTTCTTCAAACTCACTAGTGGAATATGATTAGCAACTAATGAGAATATAAATGTGTTGTAGAATGTTAATTTTCAGGCAGATGAAACTCTCTCTCTTTCTCCTCTTGAATAAAACAGATTTTATTTCTTCATTTGAGTTAATTTTGTATTTGTCGTTGTTTGATTATATTGAACCGACAGATTCGATCTCCACTAACATGTTAGCTCCTGGTACGGACACTTTGATGATGTCTGAGGATTAACATGATGCTGCTTGATACGATGATGACTGGAAACGGAATCCACGATGTGCATTTCTTCCTATTTGGGACTCGTCATCTCCAGGGAGTGATGGTCTTCCCACTGGGACTCGAACCCTGCACCCACCACTTAAGACTCCAAAGCGTTATCTATTAGGCTGTGAGAATCATCTGTTGTGGAAACATCATCACTAAATGAAAACTGTAGGTAGATCCAGATGACGAGTCCTAAATAGGTCGAAATGCATGTTGTGAATTCCACTGTTACCCATCACTAACTAACAACATGATTAAAAATCTTGTTCGATAAGCTAAAATGTGATTTTCTTCGACCAATCGTTTTGGAATTATTTAGTTTAACACTTGAATTTTACTCTTATTTTTTCGTTCAAGTGTTATGAGTTGCTACATATATAACTATCAATTAACTACTTTTTATACATGTAAAAATACATGCATTGAATAACAGAGTTAAAATTAGCAGCATTCCCTAGAATAATGTATGTAGAGATTTGTCTCATCAGCCAATGGATCATGGTTTCAAATATCTCAGTCCAACTATCACAGCCCAGGCGGCTGAGTATCGTCATTAACCTTCAAAGAATAAGTACGACTCACAGTCCAGTACTGGGTAATTTAGTTCGAACTAACTAACTAACCAACCAACTAGAATACATTTCTAGTTTCATTGAAGTAATGTGTATATCCCTTTCTGTTGATTACCAACAGTTAACTATCCGAAGTCCACGAAAGGTTGTCAACTCTAACGAGGGAGTGAACGAGAGAATCAAACCAAAGTATTGTTTGAAAATCCCCATTGAGTCATATGAAAAAGAGAAGAAGTTCAGCGAAGAGACTCTTTTCGACGGCGAATTCATTCACATAGCTGTACAATCGCATTTATATATAATTATTTGTGTGTGTGTGTACATGAGGTTTGTCAAGTTTAGATAATTGATTAGTTAATACAAGAATGATGTAATATAGAAACAAAGTTAATCAAACAGCAACTAAAGTAAGATTGAGTTAGTAAGCTAGATGACGTAATATAATTGACTAAAATGTTTCAACTTAGATCAGGGTAGCAACAGAGGTAATTACAGGTAGAGACTAAGTAGAAGTGAAATTGAGCAAATAAGTTGGATGACGTAACATAAATGACTAGAAATTGAGCGTTGTTCAAGTCAGTAACAGTGGTAGTGAGGTGTAGAAATTGAATCGGGTGGGGGTAGAGAACAAGAAAGTTGAAAATGTAAAATATTACAATTGAGAAGACAAAATAATACGAATGAAGAGACAGAAGAAAAGATTAGGTAGAATTTACTTGTCGGCTAATAAGATAGATTACGTCCATTGCAAGTGTAGTGATTGAACGAACTCCTTCTGTATGCAGAGTTCAGGACTTAGCAAGTGAATCGCCATTGCTTCTGCAGTTTGAAGAAGTCTGATTCGTACACCTTTAGGAAGACTACTTCTTACTCTGTAGACGACTTTGAAGTTTGTTTGCGGTGTAGCTTGGTGTCCGGATTCTATCAGATGTTCTAAGATGGAACTGGGGGGGGGCATCGATTTTCTCCTTTGTAAAACCATGTTGGTAAGTGTTCGGTGATACGTTTAGAAAGCGAGCGCTGGGTACGGCCGACATTGTTGTTGAAAAGTCAAGTCCCTTAGCTTATTATCTAAATAAAGCTGAGATTTACACACTATCTTACTTCATCTGAATAATTTTTTATGCTCCTTTTTTCTCTATCAGTCAGCACAGCATACTTCTGGATCAGTAAACTTATCGTGTTTTCGTCGAGATGATAGTATCCCATCATGGCGTTCATTCTCACCTGTTTTGTCTACTCACAGTAAAATGAATAAGAATTACTCAAATCCTATGCTGTGTTGTTCAGATAACAACAATAGTAATCATATAAATAATAATCAAAACTGTCTTTCATTATTAACATCCTGTTGGAAAAAGTCGAACCTCCCAAGTGATAAGATACACTCAACTGACTTAAATAAACTCTGTTCATCATCGTCTCATCATTCTGTGAATACTTCTAATCCATCATTAACGATTTCTGTTGAACATCCTCACTACTACCGCCAGCAACGGTTGCATCGAAGAAGATATGATCATTCTCATAAAATACGCAGTCAAAGTTGTAGACCGTCTTCACGACTGAAGCCAAATCTACCCGGAAAAGATGATTATGCTTACTACTATTCGCCATCGTTATTGTTAAATAAGCCAACATTGATAAATTCAATAAAAAAGTATAATTCTGAGTTATCTGAACAATTGACTGATAAAAACAATATCGCGAATCATGATAATGGTAATGATGCGAATACTAGAGGCAAAGATAATGACAACAAAAGTCTTTCTTCTCATACTGGCAATAATTATCGTCGTATAGCACCATTGGCTAAACTAGAAACTATGGATCACTAAAGAGTTTCCGTTAGCCAGCATTCATTGTCTTAAAAATAAGCATTTAAACAAAGCAAAGTTGAACAGTGAATAAAAATATAAAAATCGTTTAGTTCTCCAATTCTTCGTGTTTAATTTGGTAGGAAATTGTTTTGTTTATGTGTTACATCATTGTGTAACTCTATCTATGTCCTGTTCTGTTCTGTGTTGATGCGTTGAGTTCGTTTATTTTAAGTTATTGTTTTAATTAGTTAACTGATTACATCACTGTCATTATTAATCTTCTATTTGTATTATTTCTATTTTTTTTTCCATAGGCTTTACAGATAACAATGGAAAGGAATGATTTTGTAAAAGATAAATTTCGAATTAAACGTAAAGGATTATTTTAATGTGATAAGCTGTCCTATCCCTTCAAACTTTCTCTTACTCACTCACTCACTCACTCACTCACTCACTCACTCACTCACTCACTCACTCACTCACTCACTCACTCACTCACTCACTCACTCACTCACTCACTCACTCACTCACTCACTCACTCACTCACTCACTCACTCACTCACTCACTCACTCACTCACTCACTCACTCACTCACTCACTCACTCACTCACTCACTCACTCACTCACTCACTCACTCACTCACTCACTCACTCACCCTCTCTTTCTCTCTCTCTGTCTATTCCCTTCTCCCTTTGTTCTGCAACATGTATTGAATTCTGTCCACATTCTCCGTTTCTCTATATGTTTGTCTATAAGAGTAATATAAATAAGTCATATTAGTAGTAAAAAAACAACTTGTTAACACATTGGCATTTTGGCAGATAGAAGGAATAATATAAACACTACTACAAAATAATGTAAGTCAGTATGCATTACATTTTGCTCTATTCATCTTAGTGAATATAAATATTTGAATACTATTTGAATAATAAACAGATTTAATGAGAATACTGTCCAATTTGTACATTATTCATGAACTATTCTTCCGCTCTTGTATGTGTGTATGTATGTATGCATACATACATGCATACATGCATATCCAAATATTTATATTGAAGATTTGTATAATTTTTACTAGTTATCTATATTTAGTGGGTTAGTTACACCTATCTGTGTTACTATCTACCTATTACATGTCTTCCATATCTCTATATCTATCTATCTATCTATCTACCTATCTATCCACCCATCGCTACCATCGATAAACAAATACGTCAATAAGTAAAGAGTGAAGAGGAGAGATGAACAACATTTCTGTTCAGTGAATAATGAATGATACATTGAACTATTGTCTTCCATATGATATTCTTTCACTTGCTATTATTATTATTGTTTCAATTAATATTATATAATTCATATGATTTATTATAAGTGTCAATCAGTAATAATTTGAATTACATGCAGTTGTTAAAGTTATAACTTCAACAAAACAACAACAACATCAACAACAAAAACTATGGCTTGTTTCTTCTTTCTTCTTCTGTGTTGTATATGCTTGGGTGTTTTATGTTGATTGGTTCGTTTCACGCCAAAGATTAAGATGTTCAGCGCTTACTCCACGATGTGAAGTTAATCTTTTTGGGGGGGAATTTTGTCTCTTCTGATTGCTTTAACTGTAATTGATTATCTTCACAGGTTTGATATTACCCTTGTTTATGATTTTGTGTTTTGAGCTTTTTTTCTTGTTATGTGACCTGTTTTTTTCTTGGTTGATAAATTTGATCTATGTCAAAATGTTTGTTTATTGAGTTAAAAGATTGATTCGAGTAGTAGTAAGTTTTTATAAGAATTCTGTAGCATTTCAAGTATTTCCATTGTTTAAAGTTTTCCCTGGTTGAAATGGTGTCCGAAGGTTGTCTGCATGTATTAATTATTAATATAAGAGGAATACACATTTCATTTTATTTTGTGACGGCTAGTTAACATTTTAGAATTAAAAGACGAAGGGGATGTCCGCTTTGACTAATATTATAGTGTTTTTGAGATAGTAGATTCACTTAATCATGTAGACGGCGTTGATCTTGTCTTCTTTTCCTGTTAGGTCTTTCCGTCTGCATAATGTTAATAAACTAAAAAGATAATTGCAGCGAAGAAAATTTTCTTTTTCGACGAAGTCATCATCTAGGCTGTACATTCGTGTATTTATATCAAATGGATGGGTAAGTTCCAGAATAATTTCTGGTTAAGGGTTAAATTAATAGAAATTACAATTAGGAATTAGAACGCCATAATAAACAGGGGGATGGGTAAAACTCAAATAAGGTAGCATAATAACTAAGAAAATTGACATTGTGCAATTGGGGGTTAGAAATGTAGAAATAACAAAATATGCAGGATGTTTGGATAAAAAACTAATATGATGAATAATTGTTTATGCAATCAGGGATTAAATATGTAGAAATAGTAAAATGACAAAATAAACAGGAAGTGTGAATATGAAAATATGGTAGTGTAGACAGGGATTAAAAAAAACTTAAAATAACATGAATAAACAGGAAGTTTAGATAAGAAAGGCGATGAGATTATAACTAGCTGATTTTGTTGTGAGTCGGCAGTTCAGTGGTAGAATGCTCGCCAACCATCCATGTGGTTCACAGTTCGATCCTCTGCCGGCGCACACGTTTACCTCTCTTAGCCGGTCATGAACCTGAAAACGAGGGAAGGGTTGGCGTGAGAATATCAAACCCACTCCGTAAAAAACACATGCAGCTAGTGAGACTTCAAAGCTAAAGCATGAAGCCACATGTTTCACTCGGAAGGCTAAGGAATAAATAATAATAATAATAATAATATAATAACTGATTTTGTTGGTTTTTATGTGATGCGATGGTATCAGTATTCTAACAGTCGTGTATTGTGGATTGAACCTTCTTGTGTCTCCCGAAGATGGTGTTTTTCTGCTCGTTTTATTTGAGTCTAGACATCTTCTCTATCTACAGGAATGAATTTGAGATAATATATTTTGATCAGTTGATTCAAAGCATATAGTGGATTATATTGTTTAAATCTAGTGAATCTCAAGATAGTCCTATCAGACTGGTGTACATAACTGACTATTTCAGTTTATGTGATAATCACATGCTGCGACATAAGCTTTACTAAAGTGATATTTAAAATCCCAGAACTGTACAAAGGCCAACTGGAATTCGAGAAGAACGAACCTGAGAAGACAAAGTAAATTGAGTGCGTGGTGATATACGATTCTGGTCAAGGCACTTTATTAGGATTTGTGTAGTTTTGGAAAAACTTAGGCAGAATCATTTATGAAATGGAGACAGTCGGCGGTGTCTATAAGAGATTTTTCATGCCACTCTCTTTATTTAACTTTATTGTAGATGCAATACGGGATACGACTCTGTTTAACCTAAAGTTCACTAGAATTTTCTAGTTACTAGGAGAATGTCTCACTGATAAGGAGTTGAGACATGATGTAGCTTTTTACATGAGGATGTTGACAAAATAAAGTTTTCTAAATTATTATTATTATTATGGTTTTATTAAAGTTCCCTTAGATTCTCAGTGGAACATAGGGTTTCAACAACACATCTACACCTTCTTCTATTTTCTGCTGTCCTCTTCAACTGAGCCCACGATTGACCATAATCTCTCGTCTCCTCCTCGCACGATCTCCTCCATATCACCCTCGCACCGACGACCTACTCATCGCTTCCCATTTGGATTCCACTCGAGAGATGGCCGGGCGATGGCACGATGTCACTCGACCATCTCCTCAGCATGTGCCCAATCCATCTCGATTTTCTACTACATATCTGCTGAACAATAGGTTCTTGGTTAGTTTGTTACTAGATTTTCTGGTTGCAAATTCTTTCTGGTCATTTGATATTTATTAAGGAACCAATGAAGGTAATTGTTGATAAAAGTCTGAATTTGCCTGCTTGAAATGCTTTTCATGAGGTGTGCACCAATTTTCTGCTCCATATAGAAGAACTGACTCACTTCAAATTTGTGTTGAGAATCCAAATCTTGTTGTCTATGCTGCAGAGTGCAGATTTCCAAACCGATTTCAGACTGATGAAGGCGTATCTCCCCTCTCCGATTCTGACTAGCCTTAACATCTTCATCCGTGCCGTGTGACTTTGGTTGAAACCATGCTTTCTAGATAAGTGAAGAAAGTAACATCTGTAAAATATCTCCCTTGATGGTGATTGGTGCTGGTTTTTGTTGCTGTTGGTCGGTTATCTTTACCACCTGCGTCTTCTCTATGTTCACCTGGAGTACTGTCTTCTCTGCTCATTCAGCAAGTTTTTTGGTTTTTGCCTACAAGTCTTCTAGTCTGTGTAACATTAAATATTAATAATCTGCGAAATCCAGTTCTATAGTCTAATTATCGGTGCAGCGTATTAGTGTCTTCGGGATAATGAATATAAACCTGACTGCGTCCATCATGTGTCATACAACTGTTAAATATAAGTCTTCAGAAAATTCTAGTTTAAGGATAGGTAGTGAGTGAAGTGATCAGCCATCTTGACCACTTCCTTTTCTTCAGAATTTGCGACAGCCCTAACAGACTAGTTGCTGATGTAATTTCAAAACAATACATGAAACTCCTTCGGTATATTTCCATTTTGCATCATCTTTGATCCCGGCGCGATATCCAACTACCCACCAAATAATATACGCACTTTGCATCAATCCACTGTTTCCTTCTTTAAGACTGGAAGATATGGTCATTGAAGGTAGGTGAGAAACTGTGAAGCTAGACCGTAAGCTTTGAGATAAGAATAAAAAGTTATTCACAGAAGCTTCGTTAGCTTATATAGCTAGGAAACGTGTTTCGCATGACCAGTCACAGCATTTTTCGCCAAGCTCAAGTAGGTTTAAATTAGTGACGAGTTACAGATCATCAAACCAACGCCTGTCATCAATATATGTAGACTGAAACTATCAATGTACTCATCTTTAAAAGCATGTTACTAAGTATGTGAAAAATTACCTGATTTTCCATTTCTTATTATTTGCTGGCATATAGCTTAGAAGTGAAAAAAAATGTGTCAAGACATCTTATTATCAAGGAACAATTCTAGTTTCATGGGCATATTGATCACACATGCACACCTGATGGTTTGCGTCATATTTCTGATGTGTTTTTCACATTAGCTAACTGAGAAAACAATTCCTGAAGATTACTTGAAATCTAACATGATATTTAGGAACATGTTTTCCATATGATATTTCTAATTTGATTATGTACTGTGTTATAGATGTGTGCAGTCAAAGAAAGGTAATTATACTGTCATGATTACATCCGTTGCTATCAGCAGTTGACTTCACTAGTTCCACACTTAGGATCACATGGCCAAAAAGAATTAACAACAAGAAACTCTGTGAACGAACCAATCAACAACCTATCGCTCAGCAAATATGCCAA